TACAATCCCTCTCTCTCTCACCCTCAACCCCCCCCCCCCCAACTGTTCTATACTTCCCACACCCAACAACCTTCCATGTTCACTCCCAGGCTTCTTCCCAGCAATTACTTCCCTCTCTCTCCGCTCCTCTGTTACCTCTTACTCCCCCAAGTGTTTGCACTACTTGTGAGGGGTGTGGGAAATACGTTTTTGTATTGTAATTTAAATGAATTATTATTCAGAATTCTGTATTAATATGCCTAGTAAGGAATCTATTTGTCATAAAACAATTCCTGAATCTTTTTTGTTGCCTGTATTGATACAGACATACTTTCTGACAGGTATTTTGAAATAAATTACTAAGATAATTGAAACTGGCATGATTATACTGTGTTATGACAGATAAAATATGCAGAATTTTAAATACTGTTTGTAGAATTTTTAATATTTTGGAGCAGAATTACCCCAGGAGTACATACTGAAAAAACTATTGGATACTGATAGTGGTGCTCCCAACCTGCTTTAAAGGCACCTGTATTGATCACCTGAGGAGAAGGATACCTCCTTCAACACGTTTTGTGGTAACATACATCACTAAATATTTGACCTGGAGTGGGGAATACGCATGTCCAAGATGAGGGTACCTGGTTAGTATATTGGATTCAACCACACTTACAGTGGTCACATCTAAAGCTTTACAAAAGTGGGGTGAGGGAAGTGATATCCCACTGACAACCTTTGTGGGAGTGAGAACTATGTACATGTATAATGGATAGTGTAAGTATTCTGGAGTAACTGTTGAAATAATTTTATACTGCAAAGCATTATATTTAGAAGTAAATTTGGACACTGCCAGTGGGTTACACAAGTATTTGTGAGACAGCAATGGGAATGATGGGTATCAGGATTCTTATTTTCTATTCCTGGCTCTGTCATTAGATTGTGGTCTAGTTACAAATAGCATAGAAAACTGCAACAGTGCTCCTGTTTGTGTCATTTGAGGGGTTTGAACCCAGGACCCCAGAGTTTGGCTTGTTTTTAAAGGTGTATATCGCTTGAGCTAAAGAACCAAATCTCTTAGCATGGCAGTACCATCGATGTCATAACCCTCTATATGTTACCCGAGTTAGTGGGGGGGTTACACAAGCATCTGACTTGTCATGTTCCTGTTGAAAGTCTTTGTGGCAGAGTAGATTGGTTCTGTTCCTAACTCTGTCTGAAGTGACACATGCAAACTATCATTTTTATTTTATCTGACAGTTATCACTGCACAAGGTATGAAGCCTTTGCTGCTAATAAAGTTTGTAAAGGGCACAAATTAATGGTGTGATGATGCACTCAATATGTTATGTAAATATAATGTAACTAGAATATGCTTTATGCAAAAGGTCTCTTGTAAGGTATCATTACAAAGCTTATAATCTACAGTGTGTTCATCCTATTTGTATGAATGCATCATTCTTGTATCTGAAGCTAGAAATATGAAGTATTACTCTGCAGTCCTATTGTAACTATGCAAGGTGTGGGCCATTAATGGTGGCTTGGAATCTTGATGACTCCCATTAACTAGAACAATTGGTGGTAAATGGCTCTGTTTACTTGTAAGCCTTCTTGTATACCTGTGTGCCAGCCAATGGGTAATGAAGTCTCACAGGACATGTGAACGTGTCACATAATACTGAAATCCATCTTAATCCTGGTACTTTTCCATTTAGAAGGAAGGATGGGAACCCAGAGAGAGACAAAGGATTCTCGCCTTGTGCCAAAGATATAAAAGAGGGTGGAACAGAACAATGGGGTGGCCAGTCATGAGGAATCCCCTAGTTACCACCTACGCTGGAACTGACAAGGACTGACCAGGGAAAAGGATTGGGCCCATACTAGGAAGGAGTCTAGTCTGTGAAAGAAGCTTATAGGAACATCTCTAAGGGTGGAACTCTGGGCTTACAGTTTACTTGTAACTTCTGGTAAGCTACAGTGCTCTCTGTATGAGAAGCCTGTCTCTAGTTTTGCATCCTTAAAATAGTCTGAAGGCTGGAACTTTTCACATCACAAGATTCCCTGCAATAGGGGCCAAAATCACGTTACTCATGATAAATTTGAAACGGTTGACAACACGGTAGTGATTCTTGGCTAATGAGATCGTTATTCCTTTAGTGCACTGGAGATGTACTGTTTAATGTTGTTGGCTTTTCAGTGCTTGTCATTTTAACTTGAAGTTTTTGGAAGGAGCAGTACTATGCTTTCTGGGCCAAAATAAGTCATATGAATTGTTGATTTCCAACTTCAAAATTTTTGTACTTGTCTTAAGGAATATAATCTTTATTCTTTTAATAAAAATAAAGTCTCATTAATGACATATTAAGAATATATTTTCCTCTATTGGTTTTCAAATTTCATCTCTAATAATGATCTAAAGTTATATTTAAAATATTTTAAGATGTTAAAAATCATTGTAAACACATTTTCTTAGTTACAAGTTGATACTCTCTATAGCCTTAGTTTTAAATTTAAGATTAACCTTTGTAAAACGTTCTTCCAACGTTCTCCCGTATTCTATAATTACAATGATGTGAATTTTACTCCATGTTCTTGTATGGAATTGTAATTAGAAATTAATATTTTTCTCTTTTCCTATTTCAGAATAGAAGATGAATAATCTTTCCTTTAGTGAACTTTGTTGCCTGTTCTGTTGTCCACCATGCCCAGGGAAAATTGCTTCCAAACTGGCATTTTTACCTCCAGATCCTACTTACACACTGATGTGTGATGAGAGTGGTAGTCGCTGGACTCTACATCTTTCAGAACGAGCAGACTGGCAGTACTCCTCTAGAGAAAAAGATGCCATTGAGTGTTTCATGACTAGAACCAGCAAAGGTAACAGGATTGCCTGTATGTTTGTGCGTTGCTCGCCTAACGCCAAATATACTTTGCTCTTCTCACATGGAAATGCTGTTGACCTAGGTCAGATGAGCAGTTTTTACATAGGACTGGGTTCACGGATTAACTGCAACATATTCTCATATGATTATTCTGGATATGGCGCAAGTTCTGGGAAACCAACAGAGAAGAACCTGTATGCTGACATTGATGCTGCTTGGGTGGCTCTTAGGACAAGGTAAGGAAGGAGTTAATTGCAAATTGTTTTTTGCTGTGCTTTACAAAAGTTTACTTCATGCTAGCATAGATTGAGTCTATTCCCATCTTAAAATACTGTATCCTAGAATTATCTGATTCATATCAGATCTGGGTGGTGAGACTGCCACATTTCAAGTGAATTGCTTACAAAATTTCTGCTATATGTTAAATCTGTCTAGGCTCCAGTTCTGCAAATTGGATCAGCTTGCAGGATCAGGGCATAAATGATTATAGATGGCTTGAAATTCTAGTGCCCAAAGGCAGATACTTTTGGAGAAGTCCACTTAACTAATCTGTGTGTATCCCGCTTCCATTGGAGAATTAACAGATACCAATGTCAACCGAGCCCACTGCTCCTGGAGTGATCTCACATTTGATCTGAGAAAGCTGTCTGCTGTTTTCCTTGTAATGTTCTTTGTTGGTATGCTGGTAACCTGCAGCAGTGTCCTTTTCCCATCTCATCCACTTCAGACCTGTAGCTTCAGCAACAAGGAACAAGTAGCTTAAGGGGCTTGTGAGGTACCCTGATGTTGTGGGGGAGGGGAGGAAGGGCCCTGTCACTGAATGATTGGGGCACGCAGATTGGGAGCACTTTGCCCCTTGGGGCATGCACAACCTTTTCTAAAACCTTGTAAATTATATCTTGTATGTGTTAGTCCATATGTTTGTTTTTTAAAATACTCTGTCTTGCATAGACAGAACAGAATAGTATAAATTGCTAGTTGTGCATCTAAACTGTAGAAAGTGCATTGTGCTTGAGAAATAGTATGTGATTGTTTTAAACACTAGTCAGATTTTCTCCTGGGTTTGGTGTGTTTTGCAGTGCTCTCCCAGAGCAAAGCTAGTCTTAAATCCAATATAGCCTGCTGTATGAGGAGATCGTCTGATGGTGTGGTATCACTGTCGTAGAATCATAGAACTGAAAGGGACCTTGAGAGGTCCTCTAGTCTGTACCCTGCACTAAAGGCTGGACTAAGTATTATCTAGACCATCCCCGATGTTTGTCCAACCTATTCTTGGAATTTCCAAGATCTCCCTAGGAAATTTATTCCAGTGCTTAACCACTCTGACAGGAAGTTTTTCCTAATGTCCAACCTAAACCGCCCTTACTGCAATTTAAGTCCATTGCTTCGTTTCCTATCCTCATAGATTAAGGAGAAAAAATTTCTCCCTCCTCCCTTGTAACAACCTTTTATGTACTTGAAAACTGTTATCATGTCCCCTCTCAATCTTCTCTTCTCCAGACTAAACAAATCCAATTTTTCCCTTCCCTCATAGGTCATGCTTTCTAGACCTTTAATTTTTGTTGCTCTTCTCTGGACTTTCTCCATTTTGTCCATATCTTTCCTTAAATGTGGTGCCCAAACTGGATACAATACTCCAGTTGAGGCCTAATCAGCACGGAGTGGAGCGGAAGAATTACTTCTCGTGTCTTGCTTACAATATTCCTGCTAATAAATCCCAGAATGATGTTTGCTTTTTTTGCAACAGTGTTACACTGTTGACTCATATTTAGCTTTTGATCCACTATGACCCCCAGATCCCTTTCTGCAGTACTCCTTCCTCGGCAGTCATTTCCCATTTTTGTATGTGTTCAACTGATTGTTCCTTCCTAAGTGGAGTACTTTGTATTTGTCCTTATTGAATTTCATCCTAATTTACTTCAGACCATTTCTCCAGTTTATCCAGATCATTTTGAATTTTAATCCTCTCCTCCAAAGCGCTTGCAACCCCTCCCAGCTTGATATCGTCCGCAAACTTTATAAGTGTACTCTCCATGCCATTATCTAAATCATTGATGAAGATATTGAACAGAACCAGAACCGATCCCTGTGGGATCCAACTCGTTATGCCCTTCCAGCGTGACTGTGAACCACTGATAACTACTCTCTGGGAATGATTTTCCAACCAATTGTAAATTTAGCGCCCTAGTGACCAAGACAGTCTGCTCTGCAGGCAGCTCTGGCCCAGAGATGGCGCGCGCAGGAATGCAACAGGAAAAATCCCCTCCACCCCAGGGGCACCTGTTCCAAGCCCCTCAGAGTGAACACACACACCCACAGGAAAAGTACAATGGATATAACAAAGGGAGATATTTACACCTCTATTTCAATATAACGCGACCCGATATAACACGAATTCGGATATAACGCGGTAAAGCAGCGCTCCGGGGGGCGGGGCTGAGCACTCCAGTGGATCAAAGCAAGTTCAGTATAATGCGGTTTCACCTATAATGCAGTAAGGGGTTTTTTGGGCTCCCGAGGACAGTGTTATATCGAGGTAGAGGTGTATTTACAGAGGGATGAGAGGAGAAAAACAACAAGGGAAAATATAAGGGGAGCAGTAGAACAGGGTTTCATCCAAACCAAGGCCCCACAGGCCCAGTGGTTCCTCAGTGTCTGCCCTTCCAGACTGTGCTATGTGTCTGCACACAGAGTTCAGGAGTCCTGAGCAAAGTTCCCGTCCAGTGGTGAGTCTTGGGTGCTCCTGGTCATCTTCAGCGCCAGTGAACTTTCCCCAACAACCCCCTCTGGTGCTCTCTTCTGCCGCTCTTTGCAAAGCCACATAGAGCGACTACCTCCCCACTTAACTAGCTAGCAGCCTCCCTCCTTATTCCCAGTGCAGAGTCAGAAGCCCCAGTACTCACAGCCCCATGCAGCTCTAGGCAGCAGTGATACTGGGTCCAGCTCCAGCCTGTCCTCCTTGAGCGATTCCTCCCTTGCACAGTGCTCCTCCTGGCTCCTGTCCTGGGGTGTCCCCGATTGGCTGTCCTGTCCTTTCCAGGCTTTAGGCAGGTTCTTTGCTGCTTCACTTTGTGAGGGCCTGTGGGCTCTCCTCCAGAGCCACACCCCCCGAGTTTCCCTCCTTTCTCTCCCTGCTCCCACTCCCAGGAAGAAGTTTTAAAGGGCCAGGCTCTCTAAACCTCAAAGGGGTTACATAGTTATGCGCACACCTTGTAGTAGCTCCATCTAGGTTGTATTTCCCTAGTTTGTTTATGAGAAGATCATGCGAGACAGTATCAAAAGCCTTACTAAAATCAAGATATACCACATGTACCGCTTCTTTTCTCT